CTTCAGAAGCGACTAAGCGCTTCGCCGACGCCCGGAGACGTCCCGCCCCCGAGTACACCGAAGGCCAGGAGGGATGTCTCGAAAACTCTCCCCTAGATTCATCGGACCCTACAGGATCACTCGAGTCATCAACCCCTCAGCCGTCCGTCTCCAGTTACCTCAGTCCCTCCGGATCCACCCCACCTTCCACGTGTCCCAGATCAAGCCTGTCTCCTCGAGCCCTCTGTGCCCTCCGTCCGACTCCCCACCACCCGCCCTGGAGGTCGATGGACATCCGGCCTTCACGGTTCGCCGCATCGTGGACTCCCGTCGACGAGGTCGCGGATGGCAGTACCTCGTCGACTGGGAGGGCTACGGACCGGAGGATCGCCAGTGGGTTCCGGGCTCGTACATCCTCGATCCAGCCCTTATCGAGGAGTACGAGCGCTCCTGCCCATCAACCTCTTCCGGACCGCCAAGGGGCGGTCGTTGAGGGGGGGGGTACTGTTGGGAGCTGGAGAAGTTCCACCTTTCTCCAGCAGAGTCCGCCGTGGATCCTCTGAGGGAGCCTCCTGCACAGCTGCAGCTCGTCTAGATCATCAGAGGATCCACTACTTAAGCTGTCTTCAGACCTTGCCTCAACGCCGCAGTGTTGTTCCAGTTGGTCAGCGCTTAAGCCTAGATCCTCAGAGTAAATCTATGACTTTCGAATCCAGCTTGGATTCTAACCCCTGTGCCTGTTTTCCAGGAAACCTGTGCCTCCTCTGTGAAAGCTCTAGAAGAGCTAACCTGCCGAGCCGACCCTCTGAGCCAAACCTGAAGATTCACAGAGAACCTCCAAGCAGCTCTGGACTTGAGCTGGGTAACCCAAAGCCAAGGTCTGTTCTAAGTAGACGTGAGATGCTGAAGCAGCTACGAACTCTGCTGATGAACTCTTCTCCAGAACCAACAGTGACTCTCCCAAAGCTAACCTCAAGAACCCTCAAGGTACTATCAGTAGACTTCTGGAAATCAAACCTCTGTTGGCAACGCTAACTGAACTGTCTCTCGCGCAGACTCAGGTGAACCAGAATCCAGGCCCCGAACCTGAACCAGAATATTCAGTGTGCTTGTGCAAAATAAAACTGTTAAACTTTTATCCTTGTGTCCGCCAGTGGTGTTCTGCATTTTTGGGTCGCTTTCAGTGAACCCATCATGACAAACGGAGTCTCACTTTTATTTTTGCAAGAGACGTAATGCCAGAGGCATGCAGGAGCAGAAACATCCAGCACTTTTGAAATGGGATGGGGTGGTGCTGCTCTGCCATGCAGCATGGCTAAATGCCCGCTATTTAGGTAACAACTTAATGACTTTATTAAGTGTTTATAATTACTAAAAGAACCACATAAAGTTCATCATGCATCACTGTCGCTAAATCAGACGCCATCGACTCAAACAGCACAAAGTCCACACGACAAATATAGAGCTAGTTCACAGTTAGCGTCAGCTTCATCAAAGGAAAGTAGCAAACAGTCTAACAGCATGTTGGAGCACCATACCTGATCTATTAATGACAGTTTTATGTCTATATACGTTGGAAATCATTAGTTTTTCACCTATTTGATTCATCTTTTTTTATTCTGAAACCTTAAAGATTTGTGTTTTGATATATCGTATAAGTTTAATAATGTCTGTGTAAAACTATATGTGAAACGTGTACACATTTTTTTATTTCGTCAGCATTTATTACAGCTGGAGCATTACAATTTTAGAATATAAAATTTATTAACTTTTAATTAAATTAGCATATTGTAAAACAATATTTATCCTTTTATACAGTGGCAGCTGGCCCCACCCACCCGATGAACCAGATTAAGACATAAAAAAAACTTTAAAAAAATATATATAATTATGATTGAAAGAGATGCTAAGGAGGTATAAGAAAATGGAAAAAGTTATGTCATGGTTTTAGCACTGATAGCTAGCTTAAATGCTAATTTCATTCAACCGTCTAACTCTGCCCTGTTTCTTATCACTGCTCATCTGATCCACCTGCTCATGTTTCTATTTAAACTACTTGGTCCCAGCCATCAGTGCCAGATTACTTTTGAGCCTTTGATTTAGAGACTTCTGTAGTTCTAATAGTGTTCTGTTTGCCTGATCCTGACCTTTTTCTGTATTTCAGCTTTTATTGCCATTACACTGTCACAAGTACAGAGTAAAAAAATTAACTCTCTGCTTTTAACCCATTGCATTGGGGAGCAGTGGGCTGCCATTGTGCGGGGCCCAGGGAGCAGTGTGGGGTAAAGGGTGTTTGCTCAGGGAGCCAGAGTGGCAGTCTGTAGGAGTGAGGCTCGAATTCAGTACCTCTGGTTTCCAAGCGCAATGCCCTAACCACTAGGACACCACTCCCCTGTTCTGATCTGTTTGCCTGGCCTGTCTTCAGACTTATGTTGAATTCTTCTGTGGACTGAACCTGGATCTGTCTCTTGACTTCGCCCTCTGGATTATCCTGCCTTCCTTCATCTGCTTGGATCTGATCTCCTGTCAGTTCTGCAGCCTTCTATGCTTCCGCATCTGGAACTCTCTGGCAGCATTTGCTGCATCTTGTCAGCCGACCGGCAGGAAAAATCCTCGTTCTCTGGGCACGGACTGTGCTGTCAAACCAGGTTAGAGACTCTGTTAGTCTTGGGTTAGTTTGCAACTATTTTCATCTAGTGCATTCTTTAAATTGTCAGAGAGAAGTGAACCCAAACACCTTCCCTCTGCAAGACTCATGTGCCTTCTAGCCAGTAACATAAAATCACTAATAAAAGTAATACCTGGCTAATAACTTGAATAAAAAGTCAGTATTCGCTTTTTCTACAAGTTGCTGTTGATTTTTTTTTGGCTACTCACCCTCTGGAAAATTAGGGTGTTCATTATTCAATCACCATTTAGCATAAAAAATATCACTCAGGTGTGTTTACTTCTGGCTCCTAAAAGATGCTGTAAAGAAGATTGTTCACTTTTGGACTTTAACTGAACATTTCTAATTCATTATTTTGATTACTCCTAAACCACTACTTTTGGGGTTAAACTTTACATTTATGCTTGTTGTCTTGCTGAAAATGAAATCTGTCCCAGTGTTTTGCAGCCTCTCATATCAACTCTGACCATCTTCCCCATTGCTTATGAAGAAAAGCATCCCCGCAGGATGATGCTGCCACCACCATCTCATAAATGATGATGTCAGTGTGATGTGCACTGTTAGAATAACAGTTTGGATCTTATTTAAAGAAAGAATCTTCTTCCACATGTTTGCAGTTTCCTCTATAAGGCTTATGGTAAACTGCAGACAAGACTTCTAATGGCTTTCCTCATCCACTGCCTTCTGCTGAACATGAAATACTAAACTTGGGATATTTTGTTAACCTTCCTTGAAATGTCTTCACAACTTTATCCCTGACTTCACTTCTTGGAATTAAGGATGCAGTTTGATGTTTTCTAACAAACTTCATAGGTTTTCCCGTTCAGCTGGATTCATACTGAGATTAAATACCACATTTGTTTTACAAACTAGGGGACTTCCACAGGCCAAAGGTTACAGTGGACAGGGTAAAAGAGGGGCTTCATTTAAATGAACACAACACTTTCACACTTTACTTTCTAAATGTTTAAAAAAAAAAAAGAAATAAAATTAATCCTTTCCCTCAACAGTGGAGCAAATGTATTTTCATCAAAATAGAAGCCTGCCCTATAGGTATACTAAACTACATGTCGCAATAATAAAGGGCGCAAGGCTGTAAGCGCCAACTGTGATGTAATCGCCCCACCGCCTGGTTGTGCACCTCTGACCATGCGCACGTTGCTCCATTCAGAATGAACGACATGCAAACTTTTCACAAGCTAGTGAAAAAATTACGTTAGGACCAGAAGGAAGAGAGTAAAAGAAGAGAAAAAAAAGAACTAACAAAAAGGTAAAGAAGGTAGAAAAACATGGATGTAGCTTAAAAAGTTAGATCTTACACATTAGAAACCAAAAAATTTATCTTTTACAAAGAGGCCAAAAGGTGGCTTCCTCTTAATTGTTTTAATCCTAAGCTGATAATAAAAAGCGTATTCAGTTTTTTTGGTGCTTGTGAAGCTTTTTTGTTCTATTTCTTACTACCTTTCCAGTAGTTCTGAGCTTTACTGCCTCCTGTGTTTTTGGAGAATACAGCAGCAACATTGGCACCAAGTATACGGTAAACGGCGCTACTTAAAGCCGTCCACGGGATCATGCAAAACACTTTAACTGCATCGACCACAAACAGTGTGCTGCACAGGTTTTTGATTTCCCACTAGAGGATATAAATTTACTACATCTATTGTAGCACACTTTATGTCATTGTGGTAAAGAAGGGAAATTGATATCAAATACACAATGACAATTAAACTAATTGAGTGTCTAGTCCCAAACCTGTGAGTAAGGCACAGCTATCCTGTGTGACTTTATAAAGAAGATTACTAAGACTTCTTACTGCTGAGTACTTTATAGTGACAACAGTCCATCACTTCTCTGTTAAAACCAAGAGCAGAACGACATTTGGGTGCGTATTAAGACATGGAAAAAGATTCACAATGCCTCCCTTATTTGTGCTAAAAGTTTCTAAAATATGCATCTTAATCTACACAAAATTCTAGACCCACTGATCTGCAGGTGGGACTTTAAATAAAGAGATGAATTTAACACTGTTTGGAAAAAAGGTTTTGGTTATATAAAATGTCGCTGTGAATACTTTCTAGCTGTGCTGTAATTAAAAAGTATTATGGTTGTTGGGCTACTGGGATATTTTTCCTAAAATCCTGCATCTCTACCTCACAGTTATGCACAATTTTTTGCTCGTTTAGATCAAAATGTAAGTAATACATTAAAGTTTGGGGCTAAAATTAGAAGAAAAAAGGATAACTTCAAGTGTAAGTGTGCATATATTTGCAACGCATCACCACAATGATGCAGGCCTTAAAAGACAGGCCTAAATGCTTGTCTATTATCCTGGACCTGGCTGTTTTTTACTCACCACATGAGCAGCAGGTGAAACAGTTGGTATGATAGAGGTTCCCCATGGCTTGGCATGCCTGGCTGGCCCCGTACACACCCTTCCCACATTTGACGCAGATACCTGTCAGAGACAATGGCTCAGTTATTATGTTGATGCTCAGCAAAGCAGAATAAGGAGATTAATAAGGCAGCAAAACTCTGAGACGAAATACTGGATGTGAAGCAATGTCACCTGACTCCTGTCTTGGAGGAAAATAGGAAGCTATTCAACTATTTACAGCTTGGCATAATTATTATTCAGCTTTCATAATAAGCTAACTTTATTTATCACACAGTGGAGAAATTTACCTCCTCATCTAATATTTTTTTTTTCTTTTAATTTAACCCATCCCCTTGGGGAGCAGTGGGCTGCCATTGTGGGGCGTTCAGGGAGCAGTATGGGTCAGAGACTACGCTTCTGAACGGCTCTATAGGTGAACAGCATGAGGAAATTTAAAGGTTTGTCATTAAAACATATTTCTTCACAAAATATTTCAGATGTCCAGGTCTGCTGACATGTGAGAGCTAAAATAGTTAGTTTGAAGATATATTTCATGGATAAATTGAGATTCAAGCTCTACAAGGCTGCCTCTCATCGTTTCCATGCATTACATAATATCGTTGAAATTACATTAAAGAAAGAGCTTTGGGAAACCCAGTGGATGTGACGCATTCCACAAAGAGAAGACTGGAAGGTTGAGTTCCTGCACTTTTCCTTTTGAGAAGTAAATGTCAAACAGATTAGTTAGATTCATTTTCACAGAATTTAAAACAAAACATAAAATATTCAATTTATCACACTGTACTGAACCCTTTTCCTTTAACTATGCTTAGTTTTCCTTTATAAATTAAAAAGACCTGAACCTAGACACCAATATGTCTATAGGTATACAACAATAACTTTGAACAACATTGCAAACGTTGGCTCCAAGTAATAACATTAAAAAATATATCTTTTTCAGAAAATGTTACACACATTAGACCAACACAAAAGGATTCACTATTGATTGCTTTTCACATCAGAGATGTTGCAACTAACAATTATTTTGCTAATTAATTAAACCTTTATTTATTTTATGAATTAAACAATTAATAATCGGATAGCAAAAGGTTCCTTTAAAGAAGAGTCTATTTGAATTGAAAACAGTTAAAAATAAAATATTTTTACCACTTGAGGAGTTCTGAATAGAGCAAATTGACAAACAAGAAAGGTTTTTGATTAGTAAAGTAAAATGTTATTTCAGTTTTTATTTTCATACAATTTTGCCATAATAACTGCTCATAGAGGACTGCTTCTTCAGCTGCAGGCATCTATACTCCACTCAATTTATGACTAAATCTGTTTACAATTTTTTCAAGTATTAATTAATTAAAATAATTTGTCTCGGCCTTTGCTGCAACTATATCATTTCTTGTATTCAGTCACTCTTGAACCTAAGAATAAAAACGGGAACATCCAACTTTAACTAATGAGAAACTAAATTGAGCGTCTAATGTTTTTTAATTTAAAAGGATATATTCTATTTCAAAATAAGCATGTTTTTGGGGCAGTTTTAATATTAAGCAATAATCATCAAAATGAACAAACTTAAATCGAGGAAATACATAATTTGTTAATTAATTAAATACTTCTTTTGAATAATACTGTAGATGCATCTATAACACCTGCAGACAGGTGGTTCTCGCTTCGAGTGATGCTCTGATGAACCAAACACAAAAACCGTCCACCGTCCCCTGAGTGGTTAGCAGCTCCACAAACTACTGTCATCTCTCATTAGGAAACAAGAAAGCAATGTCTTCCACGGTTTGATAGACAGCAGCAGCAGAAGCCTAACGAAATCTCTCTAACACAAGACAACCTTCTCTGAGGTCACATTCCTTAGCGAGTGCAGGGTCAGAGCCTTGATGGGGTGAGTCTTGGGTCAGAGTGCCCACAGGACGTAACGTAACACAAGATCCCATCAGGGGATATGGACACTTACACCCCTCCGCTCATGGAGGGATAAAAACCCATTTGTACAAACTTATCTATGATGCAGAAAGATTTTTTTCCCTTTTTTTCCCCTTCTTTATATTTATAAATATGTTTGTGCAATGGTTTAGAGAAAAAGAGTACATTACACCTAACTTGTTGTTAATAGAAGCATCTAGCATTTAGTTTGACTGGATGAATGAACAGAGCCTAAACTGGACTATTAATTACTGTGTCATAATATGTATGAGGTGAAATTTGCTCCATTACTCTAAAAGACTTTAAAAAAAAAAGGATTTAAAAGTAACTTTGCTGTGCTTTTTCAAATTGTATTTTTCATATAAGTTTTTTCCAATTGTACCTTTAAAAAAAAGTTTAATATAATTTTATATAACATTTTATTCCTACTTTTTTTTTTTTTTTTTTTACAACTTTTAATATTTAAACTTGTTTTAAAATATCTGTTTGTAGGATTGTTTTTTTTTTTCAAATTGCATTATCCAGATCACATTCTCTTCACTTCTGATGGGAGGCTTTTCTTTGGAGTGAGGAGCAAAGACCCATTTCTATTGGTCTGCATGGATGAAAGCAAAAACATCACATCACTCTGACCGATTCCAGAAATATGGCGCTAAAATTTGGGTCCAGTATTTTAGACTGATATTGCTTTCTCTTCCTCCATTTACATTATATAAAAATACACAACAATAACACATTTTCCAAAAGTCTAAACTTAAATAAGAAGAAACATATAGTAACAAATCAAAGAGAACATTAACAGTGGACAGTAATTGGAGAGGACAGTAATGCATGCGCTTCATGTGAGCTAAAGGTATGGTTGCTGAATGCACTAATGAATAAGTGAATTCATGCATGTATCAGGAAAAAAACTAATATAGGCCCACTGCATGCATGGAGTGAGGGTACTTATAGCAACATAAGCTAAAGAAACATCTACTATAAACCTCAAAATACTGAGCAATCGTTTTACTTTGTATTAGTCAAAACATTAGAAAAGCACTCAGAGTGTGAAGACCTCCGCCAAGCAGCACATTTTGCCCCAAATTTGGACTTATAGCTAAAACTTGCATATAATCTGGATCATTAGCACATTTAAATTAAAATTTCCTTGCAATAAGGTGCACCTCTAGTAAAAAACTCAATTCAATTTTCTGCTCATAGGTTTTCAACGTTCCCTTTTCTTGTGTTTTTGCATTCAGTAAAATACCTCTGGAATATCCCTATCTCACGCTGTTAGAGAATCTTTAAAAATAATTCCTGTATCTATATTATGACCTGGATCATCACCAAAATTTTATGGATTTTCCCTTGTACTGAGGGACACCTCTGATATAAATCTCATTAAAATCCATCCAAAACTTTTCAGGTTAATCTGTACACAGGCAGACAGATGGACAGACAGACAAACGTAACCTCCATAACCTCCTTGGCAGAGGTAATTATCATGGATTGTAGAAAAAAGATTTTTGCTTTAGTGCACAAGAGAGAATATTAGGCAGTATTAGGCATATTGGAAGTCTATCTGAGGTTAGAGACAGAGTACGGGCATGATCATTTAACTGAAGCCTTATTTTTCAAGCCATTTGCAAAGAGGCCAATTGTCTAAAACACAAACCACCTAACAAAACAAAAAAACCCTTTATGTTGATAAATCTAAACACCCTGTTTGTGAGAGCTTTCATAGCAGACGGAAAACAAGGAGGAAGGAAGACATTTAGTGGAATGATTCTAGTCTCCATACGCCCTGTCTCTGACTGGTGTCTGAACATTCACAGGCAAAAGCCTGGAGGGCAACATTGTAGAAGAGGGAAATGAATAACTTTCTGGATTACGTCATAAGTGAGTCAACAATGATTCAAAAAGAAACTCACCTTGCTTAAACCCTAGACTTTTACGTCATTACATATATTTATAAACAGAACTTTGATTTTTTTTTTTTTTGGTGCTAGGTCTATACAGAAAAATGAATAACAATAAAGTAGGGAAAATGACATAAAGAAAGCAGCAAGAAGTCCTGTTTGGAGTCTGCCTCAAAAAATGTAGAGGATGCAGAAAGACAAGGAGGAGAGTGCTAAGATTAGGTCAAGCGTCAATAATATCTATAGCTTAAGTGTAGGGCTGAAACGATTAATTGAATAAATAATTTTTTAATAATTGTCACCTAATTTGCATTATATACAATACACACGTGCATATATATGTGTGTGTGTTTCTATTTGTATTGCTTTATGTTTTTCCATTCAGAATTAGAAATGCACTAAAAACCAAAAAACTAAAAATGCAATAAAAAATTGTTTTAATATTCTAAAACTTTGTTTATTTAGAATATTTAATTTCGTAAAAGTGTCCCTATTTTGATTAACTGATTTATTAATCCATTAGGGGTGGAACGGTTCACAAAATCCACGGTTCGGTTCGATTCACGGTTTCGTGGTCAACGTTTTCGGTTCGATTCGGTATATGTTGATTGTTACACCAAAATCCCATAAAAATTTATGAAATTAATGAAGAAATCCCCCAAAAAATAATGGATTGTAATTATTTTAAATGATCCGCGGAAACCCTGAATCATTTCCGTATGTCTTGCTGCTTTGAATTTAATCATCTCACGCATGCTCTCTACCATCTCCAAGGGACTCAGAGGGGAGCGGACGGGAGCCACAGTGGGGGCTGTAGGCTTTGCTTTGAGCAGCCGGTCTGGAGCGCAGCGCGGGTTGCTGACGGAGTGGGAGGGATTTCGGGGTTAGCATGACATGTTGGTCGTGTTGCTGTTAGCATAAACAAAACGTGTTGCACAATGCTTGCACACTGTTGCACTTTTATCCACAACTTTCTTCCCGCCGTCATCGTAGGTCACTCTAAATGCAAAGTGGTCCCATACAGCAGACCTATAAAGTGCTGCTGGCGCGTCTTCCAACTCCTGTTCTTTCCCACTCGCCATACCCACACAATTCTCCACAACAACTGATTTTTTTCCCTGCTACACCCGGCTACGCTGCTTTGCTTCTTCTTCTTCTTGTTTACTACTGGTGGTTGGCTTTGGTCGCAGTACCGCCACCTTCTGCTCTGGAGTGTAAACGCTTCGCCTA